ATTCAACTATCTTCACATTGACTGGGTAAGTGTGTGCTCAAGTCATGCTGTAGAAATGAAATTCCTAGACATCATAAATGACTGCACTGGATCAACTGGTCACAGAACCAACCAGAGGGGTTGTGATCTTGGCCTTGGTTCTGAGCAGATCTCAAGACTTGGTGAGAGATGTAGAGGTTATTGCACCAATTGGGTGCAGTGACCACAATGCTATTAAGTTCAGCATTCATATCAATTGAAAGTTACCCCTAAAGTCCAAAATAGTAACATTTGATTTCAAAAGAGGCACTGCCAAGCCTAAAAGAATGGCTGCACGATTAACAACACAAGTAAAAAAAATTATAAAAAATAAAGAGGTTTATTTTAAAAAGTGGAATGTCTGCCCCAGTGAATTGAAGGGACCACAGGTTCTGGCAAAAGAAATATAACTCAATAATTGGGCATGCAAAAAGAGAGTTTTGAAGAGTGACTTGCTAAAAACATCAAGTCAAAAATAAACATTTCTTTAAATATATCCAGAGCAGGAAACCAGCCAGAGAAGCAGTTGGGCCTCTGAATGACAAAGAAATAAGGGATTGCTAAAGGAAGATGGAGAGATGGCAGAGAAGCTCAATGAACTTTTTGCTTCTGTGTTCACTATGGAAAGTGTGGGGCATGTACTCATGCCACAACCACTGTTTTTAGGAAAGGAGTGAACCTTGAGAAATACCTTGGTACCTTTCGATTCCTTGCGAAAGCGAAAAAGGTCCATCTGAGGCATCCCGAAGCGTGCTATCAGTCCCCTGAACACTCGGCTGTTCAAGGCCCATTCTGCTTGATCCACGTCCTCTCGACTCAACCAATCTGCCTGGGTGTTGAATACTCCCTGTATGTGTTGAGCTCACAGACCTTTCAGATTCCTTTCTGCCCATGCAAGCATCTGCATTGACTCCAGGTATAATAATGTCACTCTTGTCCCGCCTTGGCGGTTTACATGAGCTTTTGCTATTAATTTGTCCATACGTACTAGTACAAATTTTCCTCTTATCACGTTCGCGAATGCCAGAAGTATCAACTGTATCACTCTTGAGTTCCAGAAGATTTATGCTGTTCTGTCTTTCTTGATTGGTTCATTTCCCTTGAACTGTCTTGTCCAAGCAGTGGGCCCCCCAACCTCTCAGACTGGCATCTGTGGTTATCATGATGTCGGGGTTCTGAAACAATGGAACACCTTGTCCCAGGTTCGTTGTGGATGTCCACCAGTTGAGAGAATATCTCATCCTTGTTGTGATAAGAATGCATTTGTGTCTCTTCCTTACAATGTCATTCTGATACGAAATCAGTGCCCACTCTAACACTCTTGAATGAAATCTTGCCCATGGTACTAAATCTATTGTTGCAATCAAGAGACCTAGTAATCTGGCTAGTGTCATCAAGTTCGCTCTCTTTCGGTGTCATAGAGATGTTATCAGTGATCTGATAGTTGTCTGCTTCTCTGTTGGTAAAAAGACTCTTGCCAGCCTGGTGTCTATCCCAACACCCAGATGTGTGATGACTTGAGACAGAACTAGTTGACTCTTCTGTGCATTGATAAGAAAACCGTGAACCTGTAGGATGTGTACCACATGGTTAATGTCTCTCTGACACTTCCTCTGGTCCCAAGATTTGATCAGGATGCCATCGAGAAAGGGATATGTGTGTATCCCTTCTCTCCTCAGTTCTGCTATTAATGTCACCAGGACCTTGGTAAACACCCGAGGTGACGATGATAGACCAAAAGGCAGCGCTCTGTATTGGTAATGTTCCCCTTGAAATGCAAAATGCAGGTATTTCTGATGTTCTGGATGAATTGGTATGTGTCAGTATGCCTCCTTGAGGTCCAAGGAGGCCAAGAAATCATCCTGATGTAAAGCTTGAAGGATGGACTTAAAGATTCCATGCAGAACTTCTGTTGAACCACCCAAACACTGAGTTCTTTGAGGTTCAAAATGGCCCTCCATTCTGATTTTTTTGGGACAAGAAAAAGGATAGAATACACTCCCTGGAAGCGCTGCTGAGTTGGGACTGTCTCTATCATGCCAGTGTCCAACAGGTGCTGAATGGCTTCCCTCATATGGATCAGCTTGCTCAAATTGCTTGGAACTGGAGAATGAATAAAACGATATGGGGGTAGTGATGAAAACTGGATCTTGCACTCAGACTCCACAACAGAGAGAACCAATGCTCCCTCTAAGCTGTGGAGTCTTGTGAGCAAAATTCTACTTTGTGAGTTACTAGCATTAAAGCTGTGAGCAAGCGATTTGGCTACTGCATAAATTAGTTTGCTCTGGAGGCATCCTCCCTGAGTGAAGATTAAAACGTGTGAGCCGGAGGCTAAAAAACTGTGAGCTAGTTCACACTAACTCAGCATAGAGGAGCAATGGAGAGGACCCAAGAATCTTGTGGTCCTTCTCCATTGTGGGGTGAAATCTTGCAGGCTCCCTCCTATCATGGAATCATGCTGCTGGCTTTTTCCCTTGACTGCTGTAGTCCTTCTTGGGTCCGGAGAACTGTTTACTCCGAAATCTTGACTGGGAGGAGGAAAAACGGTCTCCTCTATTGTCCCTGTAATCTCTGCCTCTGAATGGCGGCTTGTAAGGGCGAAAGGACTGGAAGGCTCTTGGCTTAAAGTCCTTCTTTTTGGAATCAGCTGATGACGGCATAACTTGCTTCTTTTCCTTGATCTCCACTAACACATTCTCCAAAGGACCTTCACCAAATAGATGCAGTCCCGAAAACTTTTCTGTGGACAGGTTTGATTTTGAAAGTGAGACCACATTCCACTGCTTGAGCCATAGATTCCTTCTCACCACCACGTCAGCTGCCTGAGATCTAGTGGAATATTGTAAGCCATCCTGAGAGGCATCCGCTGCAAACTGGGCTGCATGCTTTATTTTGAGCAGGGATCTCTTTAGGGTGAGTGGATCTGGTTCAGGATCCTGAAGCAGATTGTCAGACCAAATCACTATGGCACGTGTGAAATTTGAGAGAACTGCAGACACTCTGATGGACAAGGATGCTGCTTCATGTGCTCTCTTTAGCACTGTCTCATTTTTCCTGTCCACTGCATAAGTGCCAATGGGAGACTTATTTCCATGTGTAACTTTTTTGTCTTCTACCAAGTTGGGGTGATTGTATATGTCACCCAAAGGATCCTTCTTCCATGGAAAAAGCACTTCATACATCGCACTGCACAGTAAAAAGCCAGGTATGGGAGAAGGAAGAGAATCATAGAATTGTAGAATTGGAAGGGACCGCCAAGGTCATTTAGTCCAACCCCCTGCACAATGCAGGAAATTCACAACTACCTCCCCCTCCACACCCCCAGTGACCGCTACTCCTTGCCCAAAAGATGGCAAAAAAACAAACAAACCCTCACCAAGATCCCTGACCAAACTAGTCTGGAGAAAAATTCTGACCGCAAAGTGGTGATCGGCATTACCCCGGGGAATGTAAGGAAGGGCCCTGAGAACTAAGCACTGATGCAACCCTTCCTGCCCTCCCGCTCATGATCTCCCTAAGTTCACAGAATCAGCATTGTTGTCAGATGGCTATCTAGCCTCTGTTTGAAAACCTCCAAAGAGAGCAGGGGTTGCCTCCTCTTGAACTATATGCTGATTTTGTTTTACATATGGGCAGGTGGTCTCATTCATGCATATTCCCACCTTCCCTGGGGTCATTATAGGTCATTTCACATGTACAGCTTAATCCTTCTATCACTTTGCCCTGTGGTGTCTGTTTTTTTCCAGTTACCAAAAATAGAAGCCTCAGCCTCTACTCAGCAAAGCAGACAGGTTACCTGTTCTGAGGAAAGGGAAGAATAGAGCACAAGGAGACAGCCTCCAGCCTCACTAGAATGGTAGATTCTATGTCTTACAGATGATACAAGCTAAGCCTTTACTTTTTCCCCTTCAAAAGTCCTACGTCGCAGGCTCACCGTGTCTTTTCCCAGTAGGTATAAGCAAAACATTTGCTTGCTCCTCAGACTCGCAAGGCTCCAACAGTTTATGCCCCAGTTTATACAGAATAAGATTCTTCCCCAAGCCAGTGACCCATCATGGTGATCTGGAAAATGCTGTGCACAGAAATACCAACCAGGGACAATGCTGTCTGACAGTGTGGTGTGTCAAGAGTACTGAACTAGGATATGGAAGACCCAGGTTCAAATCCCTACTCTGCCATGGAACCTTGCTGGGTGAGCTGGGGCTATTCACACACCCTCACCTTAAACCTATCTCATGAGGTTGTTTGAAGAATAAAACGGGAGAGATGAGAATGATGTAATTTGCTTGGGGTTCACATTGGGGAGGAAGGTGGGGTATAAATAAGTACATAAATAAATATATGCTGCCTCATTCTTTTTCTCCCATGTGGTAGAAACTCAAAGAATCTGACAGCAGCATGCAGCCTTGACAGCCCCACCAGGGAAGTGGCTCCGTCTGGCCAAGTCAGTTGGTATTCAAAAATTAAACTAGCTACTTTCTGAGGTTAACGTGCTCAGCCTGGATTTTTATTGTTTACTTTCTGAATGCACATCCTTGTGGATCTTCATCCAACTGCACCTCAACTGCCACTCTGGCCACATGCGCAGAAGCTCTTTTCACAAGAAGAAGAAGAGGAGGAGGAGATTGGATTTATACCCCGCCCTTCACTACCCAAAGGTGTCTCAGAGCGGCTTACAAACTCCTTTCCCTTCCCCTCCCCACAACAGACACCCTGTGAGGTAGGTGGGGTTGAGAGAGCCCTGACAGAAACTGCTCTTTTTCAAGAACAGCTCTTATCAGAGCTACAGCTTGCCCAAGGTCATCCAGCCAGGTGCAAGTGGAGGAGCGGGGAATCAAAACCCAGTTCTCCCAGATTAGAGTCCACAAACCAAACCACTATACCAAAAGCACATTTCCCTTTTGAGGCTGGGGTTATACTATGCAATATGTCAAAAGGAAGTAATTAAGAGTTCTTGCTAATCATGTATTGTGGTGGCAAAACACTTTTAGTTATATACAAAAACATTTTAAACAAATTTGACATACAGAAGAACAAAGGAAGTATGGCAAATACAATTGCAACTATTTTACATTGTTCAGCATAATTATATTGACCTTTTACTTTCCCAGGGTTTGTAAAATTTATTTTGTTTGTGCAATAAAGAAGATGTGTATAGAATTTTTAATATTTGTATGTATTGGCCATTTGTTGGAGGTGAACTCCAGTACATATTGATGGGTACAAAGGGGTGATGACTGAGAGATGGTTACTGCCTTGATTGGCCTTCTCTCTCCCTGGGTAAAATTAATGTGCAGCACTTTATTCAGCAGACTAGAAATAAAACAAAAGAAATCAGATAAAACAGAATTCCCCCCCCCCAAAGAAGGGTAAAAGGTAATATCAAAAATCTGACTTCAGCAAGATATTCCAAATAATATACAACAGGAAAATATGATAAATTGGTTAAGAATTGGAATGCTATATGTTACTTTTCACACAGGAAGAGATAGTCCTGTTTTCAGGGCAGTAAAATTACCACCATAGCCCTAATGAACACAGAACCAACACTGGGCATGCATAATCTCTGTGTGATGCTCAGTTCTTCCAAATCCAGCACTCACAGCTTCATGCACAGTTCTCAAGACTGGATTTAAATAATTCATACAGTACAAAATAGTTGTTTGAGAAATCCACTTGTATAGTGGGAGTCCAGGGGAGTCTTAGATTCAGATTTCCTATCTGTTGCAAAGAGTGCAGTACTACATGAGCAGTCCACTGAGCTTGAACGTTGAATGGAGATCAATAAATTGATTTATCATTCCCAGCTATGAACAACACAGTAAAGACAGAAAACTGAAAGATAACAGCACAGGTTATTTAGATTACAAAGAATAAAATTTTATTAGCTATAAAATCAAATTTATTCTTTCTTCTCTTTCCACCCTTTCTGTTTAGAAATATTATGGGACATCTGTGGAAGTTTTGGATGAATGTTTTTTTAAAGATACAATAACTGAAGGACATCGTTTCTACATATCTGACAAAGTCTTCAGGGCTAAGAGGTGATGCCAAGGAATTATGTTCCACTCTGATGTGTTGACTCCTCTGTGTAGCGCTTTCTTGTAGCTCTCTAGCACACATTGTGTAGGCACAGATACACTTAGTACCTTAAATATCTTAATGGTAAGACGTTCCGGTGGTGAGGGGAAATAATGCATGTGTTGGGGTGAGGGATATTTCTCCTTATCAAAGTTACTATTGTTCTTTATGAAATAAGAGACCATGATAAGCAGACAGGTGATGGCAATGATATGGGTGACCCCATTCAGGACTGGGCAAAATTATGCAATGTTGGGCAGAGAAAAATGACATATTCATCTTCTACCTGACCATCAAAACAGAGAGAGAGAGGGAAAAAATGTATGCTTAATTATGTTTAAGAGACATCAGTAGCACATTGCATTTGTGAGTTCTAGTCCCAGTTCCACGCAAATTTTTATTTTGCCAACTCTGGTTCAACTGGAATAACATGGGCTGCTTACACACCACTCTTCAAGTCTACTTCTTGTAGGTTGTTTGTTTCATCAATTTGCAGGAATTCATCGTGTGACCCTGTTTGGTCTTCTGGCTGCTCTTTGTGTACCAAGTGTACCATTTCATGAGATTTACTGGCTTCTCCATTCAGTCCACCCATGTTTTTGTTATCCACCACCCCTTTGCCATTGTTGATCACAAGCTTTTGTTTCTGTCCACATCTAATGGAAAGAAGAAGAAGAATGGAAAGTCAAAATACACTGTGACATTCTGAAAAGAGGAGTAAATCCTACTGGATTTTATTAGGGCTATTAGCTTTAATTAAAGCTTGAGCTGATTAACTGTCAGGAGTCAATTTTAATTGCTGAGGGAAATGTTTGAAAAGAACAGAAGACTTATTTTTTCCAGGCTATTTTCTGTTCTGGTCCATTAGTGTAATGTGAAGATAACCATTACTTCTAACAGAGGGCCCAATCCACCCCAAGGGAAGCATGTAAATCCCACTGATTTCAGTGGGTAAGTGCTTATCAGTCCCCCAGTCAAATTCCAACTTGCTAATCAAGAGCTGCCACATTTACCTTGCACGTTCTAAAACTTCTTTTAAAAGGCAGCTATACTGACGTTTGGTAATCTACCTGTTTGTTTCAAATGAATGGAAGAATCATCTAAAATTGTTAATTTCATTTAAATTGTTAATTTCATTTAAATACAGATGTTTTGAAAAATATTCTGCTTGGTCATTAGAATAAGTTCCCAGCTGTTAGACATTGCAGAATCACCATTATATGTTTAATGTGCTTAAAGAAGAAAATGTAGAGATGAAAAAATGGCTGTTAGCAGATTTTTGCTGATGGAAACACATTCCCCCCTCCATTTCATACACTGGGGGTTAGTTACGAAATTCAAGTGAGATGGGAGGGGCATTCAGTGATCTGGAGAATCAGACCAGATCCTGTGTTCTCCCTCTTGTGTGAGCAAACAAACAGTAAGATCAGCCAAAAGCTGACGTGGTGCTACTTCATTATAATTGTTAACTTCTTTACAGCAACAAATCTATTTTGGATAGGGTTGCCAGACCCCCGGTCCAGGCAGGGGTTCCCCAATTTTAGGGGCTTCAGCCCACTGCTGGCCAGCTGTCTGGGGGGGAAGCCCCACCCCCAAGAATGACCACCTGTGGCCACCCCTCTCCCTCTCCTCCTGAGAGATTCAAAGGGCCCTCCAGTCAATCGGGGGAAGCATGTGGCCCACCGAGCAGCTGCACGGCACTTTTAATCTTGCAGGAGGGGAGGGAGAGGGGCGGCCACCAGCTGCATGCCTGATCTCCAAGCGGTGATTCACCACTTGGCCACCACATGGCCAAAAGCATTTAAAGGGTATCTTTAAAGCAGCCCCTCTCCCTCAACTCCTGCAAGATTTAAAGGGCCCTCCAGCTGATTGGCAGACAACGTGCTTCCCAGATCAGCTGGAGGGCCCTTTAAATCTTGCAGGAAGGGAGGGAGACGGGTGGCTATAGGTGGTCATTGCTGGGGGGGGGGATGTCCCCAACATGATATTATCGAGTTGGGGATGTTCCCTCCCCCTAGTTGGCTTGTGACTTATCTTAACTGGGAATGTAGTGAGACTTCTGTGGAATAAATGGTTTACACTTTATTGCCCAACAGAAGCAGACTTACTCTGAAGTAATAAAATGTTGGTGGCAAAAATGTTTTTGAAAAGGTTTTTTAAAAAACTTAATTACAAACATAGAAACACAGAAATCGAAGGGACCTCAAAGGTCACCTAGTCCAACCCCCTGCACAACGCAGTATATTTACAACTACCTTTCCACCACTCCCCAGTGACCCCTGCTCTATGCCTAAAGGAAGGCAAAAAACCTCCAGGATCCTGGTCAATCTAGCCTAGAGGCAAATTCCCTCCTGACCTCAAAGTGGCAATCAGAATTACCCTGGGCACGTAAGAAAGAGCCACACGAGCTGAGAGCATCCCTTCCTGCCCTCCCTCTCATGATCTGCCTATGTTCACACAATCAGCTCTGCTATCAACTATCTAATCTCTGCTTAAAGACCTCCAAAGAACAAGAGCCTGCTTCCTCATCACTAAGATGATGCTGGGCATGACATTACATGAATATTTATCCTAGAGTGTTGCTATCTTGGGTCACTGAAAGCAGTAAGAAGCCTAAGCGCATCTGATAGCATCTTGCTTCCCACAGAACAAGGATTATAATATGTATGGGTGGATGGGAGGTGACAGGCAAAAGAAGAGGCCATACTAAAATTTGGGAGAAAAAGGTAGTAGTAAGTAAAAAGACAATGGCCAGCCCCATTGCTCAAAATCTTGGTTCAGTCAGTAGTTAGATAAGGCATTCTTTCTACTCTCATCCTTTAAAACTTTTACATGAGATTTGGTACGTGGCATTTAACTTTCTGAAATTCTATGAAAATATGTTTTTAATAAGAAAGCCATTATTCATGGTTTATAGCTTCCAGACTGGGCCATGTGAATAGAGATCGAATCTGTATTTGATCAGGTAGGGTTCTGCTCTTCTGCTTCTTTGGTAACTAAAGATCAAAATTAGATGAAGAGGATATCAGGCTGCTTTAGAAAAAATTCCAAAAGATCACATAGTGATATAAATTAGCAAACTGTGATATTCACACTCTAGTTCATTCCAGGTCTAGGGAGGATAGGAGGGCAATGCGGTTGAAGAAAAACCCCAGATACCATGTTTAGATAATATGTATGGCCACAGCTTTACTGATTACAGTCAAAAGAAGCACTGGCACAGCATGGGGACATATCCAGACATCTGGATATACCACCTGATGACCCCCCCCCCCAGCCTGCCTACTGGGGGATAAAACCATGGAGTGACAAGACTCAACATCCATGTGGGTGCCAGCCTCTGTATGGTCCCCTTGCCACCTGGTGGTGGAAGTGAGCCGGCAGGTCCTGAGCTGGGCTCCACCCCCAAGACCCCATAAGGGAGTCCCCAAAATGGGTGAGGCAAGCATGCCGGCAGGTCCTCCCCCCCACAAGGATCATCCCAATGCCAAAAAATGCCCAAACTGTGATGATAAAATAGCCTTAAAAAACACAGTTCAATACAGGAAAACATGATGAACAAACCAGACCAACCCATCACACTAAAATCACAAAACGGAGGGAAGGGTGGGAAAAGTTGAAGACCTGAAGAAAGGGCGAGCCAGTTGATGAACAGATTTTTAAAGGCACTGGCAACACTCCCTATGTCCACTCCAGCCACATTGGCTTAAGCAGCAGGCCTCACTCCCACAGCCATGCTTCCACTGCTTTGCCCAGTTCCCAGACCACAATGAGCATCTCCCGGTGAGCTGGGGCCATATTTAATCATGTTACAAGAAACGTGATATAAATTACCTGCCTACCATTTTTCTTCTCACCTTGAAACATAGAGTACTCCATCTTTCTGTGTTATACCTCTGAGCAGGGCTATTTTTGGGCAGGAACGCACAGGAACGGAGTTCCGGTTGGCTTCAGAGTTGACCACGCCCACTACAGCCAAAACCTCTGCGCATGTGGCTACAGAGGAAAGGCCTGGAGAGTGACCACCCCCTGGTGACTTGAAGATGGGTGGGCCAGCCCCCCCCCGGAAGGATCGGGGAGTGCCTTTCCCAGCCTGTCCAAGGGCCAGCTTGCCCGGGCAAGCCAAGGGAAGGCATGGGGTGCGGTCTTATATGCTAATGAGCTGCACTCATTAGCCAGCTTGCCCAGGCAAGCCAAGGGAAGGCATGGGGTGTGGCCTATTATGCTAATGAGTTCCTGCTGGGCTTTTTCTACAAAAAAAGCCCTGCCTCTGAGGATGCCAGTCACAGCTGCTGGCGAAACGTCAGGTCCTACAATGCCAAGACCACAGCCATACAGCCCAGAAAATCTTTAACAACTAATTAACAATTTTCTTTACACAAAAAACCCTGCTTGGGTCCTAAACCTTTAAAAGATCAGCCAATTTTTGGCACTGAGTTGCTTTTCTGTTGAATTTCTATCCCACCCACTGTAACAAATTGGAATAAAAAATTTCCCATGAGGTTTTGCAAAGGAATATTGATCCAGAGAAGCACTGATATAGTCTTATAATTGCTTGTGGGTTAGTGCAAACTATGGATTTCACTGGAGAACATTTAGGCCACTGCAGACATTTATTCAGGAAACAAAAGTAATAACAGCATTTTTGTTTAATGTTTGGGTATTGAGGGACAATTCTGCTTCCACAAACATGGATTTTCTTGGTGAGAGTTAGAATTTGGAATTGGGCTGGCAGGTAAGGAATACACTCCAAATACACTTTGTGGGCTTTTGACATTTGTCACACAATATAAAGTGCCCTTGACAGGACTGTACTGGAATAAGTAGGATGCAGATTGTGGCCAGAGTAGTCATTCTCAGCCCACATTCAATGAAATATGCCTGGATAAATCCTACTAACTACAGCCAGACTGACAGATGACCATTTTGTAGAAGTGTCACATCCTGGCACAAATGGCCAAGAATTCAATGACAATACAGAATATTGGTGAAGACTTTCAGTGCTGAGATAACCCACCCCATAGAATAATTCTTCCCTTCAGGGTTGCCGAACTACTCCTGCAGAAATGAGACTGAATCTACTGAAAGCATAAGCATTCTCAACATTACCTACCACCTCTGTAGATGGCCATGGGAATAAGGACCAAAGAATAGTATCACCATGTTATCCAAGCAAAGGAACTGTATATAAATCCATCACATCCATCTTGCTTCCCCTATCTCTTGTATGTCTTGCCTGTTTTAGATTGTAAGCCTGAGGGCAGGGCCTGAATCTCTAGTGAGGTAAGCAACTTTGGGAGGCACTTGTAGGAAAACTGGGATATCAGTACAACAAATAAATAAATATGCAAGGAAATGAAGGCCACCTATTACATTTCCCATATCTGGCTCTTATCTACCCTTGACCGAGTGCTGAGTTGAGTTGGAGGGGAAGAATATTTTTGCATGCACGAAGAAGGCTAAGAGCGGACATAAGTTTTATCACTAGTGTGGCTTACAGCATGTTTCTGGTAAGTTTTTGTTGTTGTGGCTCTCTTTGCTCTGAATTTTCTCAAGTTGTCATGAAAACCCTTTTAGAATTCTGTTCAGGCATCAAGCAATGGAAAACTAAAAAAAAGGTTCTTTACCTTCTCCGGCTGTTCACAGCAATGCAAACACCAAGTATCAATGCCAGGGCCAAAAGAGAAGCAACTACGATCAGCCAATCTGTGAATGGAAGTAGAAGACAGTTATAGAAGCTTTCATTTAGTTTGTCATCAGCTAGAGATTTGGTATAATATCTCACTTTACTTTATGAAGGGCTTGTGGCTTGGTGGAAGAGCCATTGCTTTGCATGCAAAAGGTCCCAGTTTCAAATCCCAGCATCTCCAGTTATAAGGACCAGGAAGAAGGTGAGGTGAAAGACCTCTACCTGAGACCAGTGTTCCCTCTAAGCTGAGTTAGTGTGAGCTAGCTCACAGTTTTTTTAGCCTCCAGCGCACACATTTTTGTCTTCATTCAGGAAGGATGGCTCCAGAGCAAACTGATTTATGCAGTACCCAAATCGCTTGCTCACAGCTTTAATGCCGGTAGCTCACAAAGTAGAATTTTTCCTCACAAGACTCCACAGCTTAGAGGGAACATTGCCTGAGACCCTGGAAAGCCACTACCAGTCTGAGTACACAGTACCGACCTTGATGGACCAGTGGTCTGATTCAGTATAAGGCAGCTTTCTATGTGTTCATGTATACTGACCAAGGTGATGGTCTTTGGGAAGCGCCGGTGCGTTTTCAGTTGGACAATGGATGGGTTTCCAATAGACCAAAGCGAAACTTTAAATATCTGGGTATTACGTTCTGTGACACTTTCCTGGAAGGCACATACTGACATTATAAAATCAACAGCACTTTGGGTTATGTGGGCAATCCTTAAATTTTACCATAGTAAAAGGGGATATCAGATAGAACCAGCCCTAAAGCTTTTCCAAAGTAAGTTAATCACCCAACTTTTATACAGTGTTGAGGTTTGGGGATGGAATGATTCCCTGATCATAAATTTGGAGAGAGTTCAAAATCTTTTTCTAAAAAGGCTGTTAGCACTTTCCCCAAACACTCCAGCTGTGCTGTTGAGGGCTGAAGTGGGTCTTCCCTCCCTTCGGGCTCACGCTCATAATTTATTTTAACTATTGGCACAGATTGAAAAGAGATCCAGCAGACAATCTTGCCAGCCTTTGTTTCTCTGAAAGGGACCATCACAGGGCACATTATATGACTAAAATTTCTTTATTTAACTTGCATTCAGCCTTTACATCCCTCCGTTTCCAAACTATGCCAACAGCAGTGCTTGAAGGCCGATATACCAAAACACCAGCAACTGAGCGCCTTTGTATACGTGGTGGCTCAGTTCCTGAAGATCTGTGTCATTACCTCCTGGATTGTCCACTTTATTCACTCCCAAGAAAGAAGTTTCTTGGCACAATCTTAGATAATTGGGCCCTTGCTCCACATCCGGAAAAGGTTTAACTTTACTTGCAGAAGTGGAGCCAGAGTATTCGTACAAGGTTGCACTCTTGTGCCCTAGCAGCAAAGAAAATCCACATCAAGTTGACTAAATCCTCTCCAGCTAAATAGCCAGGGCTACGTCAAAGTATTTAAGGTCCTTTTTAAGTAACCTTACCCCAGACCTTATTTTATTTTGTATTTTAATCTTACATTATTTTAAGCAGTTTTATGCCAGACGTATATATATTTTACTTCCCGTGTTTTATTGCAGATCCTATTCTGCATTTTATAACTTGTATTGTATTGTATTGTATTGTATTGTATTGTATTTTGTAACGGCCATTGGCCATATGCAATAAATCGAACTGAACTATTATTTTTGTTTGTTGTGTGAAAAATTGGCATCTCCTTTTTTGCTGTTTCACACACAGGCCCTTTTTATTTTGCCCCACAGTTGTGTACAAGGAAATGTATCTGCATGATGAGACTGTGTCAACTGCACACTATTTATTTATTTACTATGTTCTATTTATCGGCTGGCCTTGCCCATGAGCAGGGCTCTGGGCAGCTTACATCAAAGGCAAATACAATATAATTGAATTAAACCAGCATTAAAATACTTTTAAAAAAATCATAAGAACAACGCTAAATCCAAGATGATGGGGAAATTCTATTTTCCACCAGCCCCCTGAGTGGAGGGGATATTGAAGGAATAAAAGGGGAGGTTGGAGTATGAGAGCGCCAGACCACTGCTGTCCTCAACCAAACGCCTGGTGGAACATCTCTGCCTTACAAGCCCTACAGAAAGGTAGTAAATCCCATAGGGCTCAGATGTTCTCTGGCAGAAAGTTCCACCTAATCGAGGACAGCTGGATCTCTCTCGGGCCTGGGACCACCAGGAGGTTCTTATTACTAGAACGTAATGCTCTTTCAGGGACATATTGAGAGAGGCGGTCCCGAAAGGCACTGAAGCCAGTAAAGAGAGGGACAAACCTCACACCAGCAAATGAATGTACACAAGAATATTTCCCCGTGTGACTTCTGAGAAATCTGTCTCAACATCACCTTTACACCTCATCAATGATTCATGTTATTATAAATTACATAATATATTGACATACTTTACATAAACTAGCCTCCAGTCTGTGTTACATCATTATTCATTTCTGACAAATTAAACAGCAGATATGATGAGAAAGTTATGCAATTCAAGGAAAACCCTAGGTTTTCAAATTAATGTGTCTGAATTACAAAGTTCCTCATGACTCTTGCTGTTTCCTGAGGCACTGAACTTAGGAATATATGGAAATATAAAAGTGTCTTGCTCTGAGTCAAGACTATCTGTCCATCTCAACAAGTACTTTCTACTCTGCCTGGAAGACCTTCAATATCCGAGGCAGAATGCTTTCCTAGCCCTGCTATACCAGAACCTTTAATAGGAGCCAAGTATTTAACTTCTACAAGCAAAACATGTGCACAACCATTGAGCAACAGGCCACAACACTGCAGTGGTGACAGTGAGAAATGTAGACACTTCGTCATTCATATTTTGGTGGCCATCAATAAAATATGCTCTACATGGTACTGCTTTTGAAAACATTCTAGGACTTTTAACTGCTATGACATAACCACCATCTATCTTTTGATAGGTATGAAGCAGAATGAACCTTTGACCTATTCTATAATATCCACTTTGATTAGCAACTTTCGTCCAGATTCAAGATGCTGTTTCTGCTCCAGCCACTCTAGGATTTCAATCTCAATGAACACCTTCTCCCATATGAACACCACTGGGCCAATGAGGTTGTGCTCCATTAAAATCAGCCAGTGAGGCTGTGCTTCAAGTGTTGTTTTTCTTTTGTTCCTTCTCCCACCCCCCCTTTTTTTTTGAAAGCTGACCTTGGTTTCTAACAAAAGCAGGATCTTTTCAATTTTGGTTCTGCGGCTCTGGAATGACTGTTGTCTAGCAGTTTGACTAGCAAAATAGTTTGCTATTTTATTTTGATAAATAATATACATTATTGTCTGTGACACTGACATTTTAAAAAAGCAGTACAAAAATACTGAAAATAAAAGTCTACTTTTAATGAATTTTATGGTATTTATTGATGTTATTGTATTTTAACATGTGTAAGCCACCTTGAGCCAGTTTGTACCGGCAAGGCGGGGTATAAATTGGAAGTAAATAAATAAACAAACAAATACTTTAAAACACAATTTTGTGATAAAATGCAAAAGTACAGGAACCAACCTGGAATATGAGCAGCTCGAGGCTGGGTTTCTGGTGTTGAATCTCCCTGCTGTGATCCTCTGTCTTCAGGCTGATTGGGGACCAAACCTAGATGAAAAATACGTATTACTCTTATCCAAAGCATCACACTTGCATAATGTCCATGTATGCTGCTCCTTTTTTCCCACAGTAAAAGGCAATTAAGAAAAATCCAGAGGGTCGATGTATGGAATTTCATGACAAGACCACAATCCCCCACATGCAGATTAGAAAGTACAGAGGTATAGGAACCCCAGAATCCACATCAGTCATAGCTTGTACAAAGTGGACTGCACTGACAGGGAAACATCACTAAGCAGTGGGAGGGCATCACTGAAAGGCTGTGAATATCACAGAAGCTGGCGCAGAGCAATGGCGTTGGGTAAGGAAGCTAGACCGCTCACTGGAGATGCTCACAGTGACCAGATCACTGCACTGCATCTTCTCAGCTCCTCCATTGCTACACAGCAGTGATCTCTAGAACTCATCTGTCCCTCATTCCTTTTTCAGCAATAACAGCCTGGAAGTCTAGTCCACTGCTAACACATGAGGTCCTGTAAAGTTCTATCTTGTCCCCCCCTGCTATTTAACATCTACACCAAACTGCTGGGAGAGGATGTCCAGGGATTTGGAATGAAGTGTCAGAAAAATGCAGATTATACCCAGCTCTATTTCTCCTTTGCAGTTAAGCCAAGTGAGTCTGAGACCCTGGAAAGTCGCTGCTGGTCTGAGTAGACAATACTAACATTGATGGACCAAAGGTCTGAATCAGTATAAAGCAGTTTCATGTGTGTTCATAAGTTGCACTTTCCTTGAAGGAGGAGGTCTGTAGTTTGGGGGTGCTACAGGATCCTGGCCTATGGTTAAAGGTTCAGGAATCACTCATGGCACATAGCATCTTTTATTAGCTCTGGAAGGTTTGCCAGCTACAGATGTTCCTCAAAAAGCATGATCTGGCCACGGTGATCCATGCTTCAATCACATCCAAATTAGATTATTGTAATGTGTTCTATGTGGGGTTGCCTTTGGAAATGGTTTGGAAACCTGAATTGGTCTAAAATTTGGCAGCCAGGCTATTGTCAGAGTATTGTTTACAGGGATCTTATCCCCCCTGTGCTGAAAAATCTGCAGTGGCTAACCATCTGTCTCCAGACACAATTCAAAGTACTTGTTCTGACCTTTATCGCTCTAAATGGCTTGGGGCAAGGGTACCTGAAAGACTGTTTCCTTCTGTACTATCCAGCCCACCAGTTTAAAATCCTTCTCTCAAGCCCTGTTCTCTGGGCCCCTGCCTTCAGAGATAGGGCATTTTCTACATTGGGACCTTGCCTTTGGAACTCTCTCCACCTTGAGGCTCGCCTGGTACCTAGTTTAGTTTCTCTTATGTGCCAGGCTACAACACAGCTTTTAATTAGGGGTTTTACCTTATCAGCTTTTTAATGGTCTGCTTCCATTATGTGGATAGTTTTTATGCTGCTTAGGTCCAATGGCTTGTGTTTTAATGTCTTGCTTTTCTATTGTGGTGATTTTAATTTTAAGCTGCCTCGAGCAGGACTCTGAAGAGGCAGCCTAAGAACTCTCCTAAATAAATAAATAATAAATAAATACATGGTGTGTCTGGCTACTGTTGATGCGGGAAGAAGACCTGTTGGGTGCACAAGGAGAACTGATGGAGAGTCTTGGTTGCTGTATCATGGGCTGCTGCTCTAGCATGAGCCTTGTTCTTGGACTTCATCCCATGATTTTACTGGTGTGTGATGACTCCCGAAATTAAGATATTTTAATGTATTGGGACTGACATGCTGCAAGGAGATGTTTATTTTGAAGCTGAGCCACCAGAGTTTACGGAAATGGATAATTCATTTCCTGCCCACAATAAATAAATTTATTATTTTCTGTTGTAAAGTGTTTGGGGACTATGGTATACATAAGGAAACAGGGTAAGCAAAGAATGAATGAGAATTCTTTGTTCTGAATCCTTCAAGGACTGTGTCGATCTGCATTTGTTCAGGTGAGTTTGAATTGAAAAACAAGCTGAATGCAAGTTCAATAAAAACTATCTATAAGCCCTGACTCAAATCCAAAATATATTTTGCAGTTAATGCAGCCCCCAAACCACAAATAAAACAACTCAAGCTACATCAAATTTTGTTTTAGACTGAATCAATAAACCCCAATCAAAATATAAGAATATATATTAATTATTTAAAATCAAATACATTCAGTTTGGAGTGCAACACTCCATAGAGGGGTTTCTGCAGGATTCTGTCACATGAATGCCTAGATGTCAGTGTATGTTCAGCACAGACACAGCCCGCTACCTGCAGATCTCCACTGCTAAAGCCTGGCCAGCAAATCAAAATGAGCCAGGCCTGTCCATCACATGCAAGGCAATCAATATATGACTGCAAAGTCTAGAGGGAGAGCACTCAGACTGAATAGAAGATTTGGAAGAAAATAATTTGCATGGCAAAATATAACCTATAGTAGTTTAGAAAAATAGCAATCTCTGCCTTATTCTTACATTATATGCTCACATTAAGTTAATTAAGGCAGCCCGGAGTTCCTTGAATATTAAGTTTAATCAATGCTGACCTGTTTATCCTCATCACTGCTACATATTTTACTATTCTGCACTGAAATCAACTGCATTAAAAAGCTTCTTGTACAGACCCTGCATGTAATATGTGAAGGCAAACTTGGTTCAAGAACTCGGAATTCCAAACAGGAAAAACAGGATTTGAATAAGAGACGGTCATTAAGATGGTACAGGGCACAGGCACCAGGACTGCCATTTTAAAAGAGGCTTTCTGGATATTTCATAATAAACAACATCTCCAGAACAACTTCTGAGATTATTCCTTAGCATTCATTCCATGATACTTCAGGTAGTAAAGCCTGAAGAGCCACTTCCGATCCGATCTAATTTATTGCAGCAAGAGTCAGTAAAACAGTACAATTTTTATGTAAGAAGGATTAAAACAGTAATAACATGGGAATAGTATAAAAACATTAACAAGAGAAAGTTAATAAAATTAGTAAAATAAAATAATGTTAATAAGAGAATCATACAATTTTTTTCAGCTAAAAGAAGTTTACGTTTCCTAATAGCTAAGCAACAAAATTTTGCCACAGCGTAAGTCACTGAGCTCTGAATGTCTTCTAAGAGGAATTTATGAAGGACTTTTGGCCTAAAGTCCAGATAAGACTGCAGAGGGCTAAATCTAGACAGAAGGGGTAGTATAAGATGGTCTCGTTCCTCCTGATAGAATCTGCAGAACAGGAGGACACGAGTAATTGATTCCACCATATTAGCCATGCATGGGCATATACGTTCATGCACTGGAACTCAGGTGAATTTACCTTGCAGAGCCACTTCCTATCTATGACATTTCTGTTGAATGTTCCTAAATTCACACTCAAGTTCTGTCCCACTTTGAAACCTGAGATCAATTGCCTGCAATCCAGGTAACACTCATATAACAACATGAAAAAATGCATCCAGGATGTAGATGGGGATGTACATCCAATGCATATCCACCCTTTAACACCCCCGGAAAATTACTTATACACAGGAATGGAACTTGCAAGACAGGGGCATTTTACACATGTCCCTTTTACTGCCAACTGTTACATTGCTACCCATAATTACTCAGATGCTGGCTCAGTTACAGGCAATGACAGATTGCTCTGTGCTTTGAAAGCTCTGGCTTAAGTGGGAAGTTTGTTTTATCAGCTAACTTTTGGAAATCTTTTGTGCATTGTTTCTCATTTACATGCTAAATATTTAGGCCAAAGCAACAGCTTCATAACACACATGCATATAAGAAAGAATTGAATATTTATTTGCTGTCAAAGACCATTAATCATAAGAATACATTCTTATAAAAATTAAGAGATTAATTCTAGCGCAAAAAATATGTTTAGTCATAAAACATTACAAATTACAAAGTATAACAATCCAAAGAATCTTAGAAGAAGAATTTATGGAACCTGAAAGGAGTTCTATGACTGGTAAAAACTTAAATATTAAGAAAATAAGATCAAGTGAAGAATCTCTCCCTTATAATAATTGAATAGCAACGTTCTATTTCGCAACGTTCTAAATTTGGCCCCTTTAGTGTTAGGCCGGAAGAACTGCCACTCAGAAGACACTGGCTGGGTTGACTGGCTGCTTTGTGCAGTCCCGCCCAGCGCTCCAAGGTCATTTGCATATGGAAGCTGATTGGACTTCACTCCATTCCACACCTCAAACTCACCCCCCTGCAAGGCAGTTGGAATTTTCAGTTGCATAACATACCTCATAGGGGAGAGGAGAATGAGAGGAGAGCCTAGGCAGAGGCTGTGGGGGGGGGGGTTGTAAAACTTAAGAGACAGGAAGATAAAGGTTGGCTGATGGTTGCCAGGAAAGGACATAGGGTTGCCAACTCCATCAAACCATTCTCTTCAACCCCCTGCTGTGCAGCTGACTTTCCCCTAGGGTTGCCAATCTCCAGGTGGGACCTGGAGATCTCCCACTGTTACAATTGATCTCCAGATGACAGAGATCAGTTCCCCGGAGAAAATGGATGCTTTGGAGGGTAGACCCTATGACATTATACCTGCTGAGTCCTTCCGCCCCCCCCAATGCTGCCCTCTACAGAATCCACCCCCCAAACCTCCAGGTATTTCCCTCCTTAGAGCTGGCAACCCTACATTCCCCTCAGTGCCTGTTGGTAGGCAACTAAGCTTGGTCCTGTCACCTACTTTGGCCTTTGGGAGAAAACACATTGGGGCCAGTCCTGATAGGGTTACCAACTCCAGATGGGAAATTCCTGGAGATTTGAGGGATGGAGCCTGAAGAGGGTGAGGTTTGAGGAGGGGTGGGACCTCAGACAGGTACACTGCCATAGACTCCACCCTCCAAACCAGTCAGTCCCACATAGGGAACCATTGTTGCCAATCTCCAGGTGAGGGCTGGAGAGCACTCAGAATTACAACTGCTCTGCAGAAAGGAGGGCAGAAGTCAGCTGAAGTCAAAGGGGCAGATAATG